ATATATACAGGGGTTTACATTTCTGCAGCTGTTGTATGTGCAACAATCAAATATTTGTTATATATATACGTGAAAACATGAAATGTAGGGAATCATAATCATACAAAAGATGAAAGCATTAAATGAAGGAAATCATAACCATACACCTGTTGTTGCTGTACGTAAAGCGCTGCAGAAATGATTTTATCATATATATATATATATATATATATATATATATATATATGTATATATATATGAGTCAGGATCATTTTACACTAGTGTAAGTTACACTCTTAATCTTGTTCGTTGATCCCACTTATATCTGAGGGCTCTAATTTTTTAGTAATGTGAGCCATTGGATACAAGTGGTTAAGATTGAGTGTAAGACTTCTAACTCTTACACCGGTGTAAGAATATCCTGCCTATATATATATATATATATATATATATATATATATATATATAATGTTATTTTTTGACTTTGTTGTTGTATGTGAATAATTATGTGAGACAATCTTTCTTTTAGGGTCATAAGATTTGGCAAAAAAAAGAGATTAATATCAAAAATAAAAGAAATTTAAACTTGTTTTTTAATTTAAATATTAATATTTATATAAATCAAATTAGATGTTTATGAAATTCTAGTTATAGGATGCAATGTTGTGTTCATTTGCAAATATTCACATGCTTGATGCATTATTTTATTATATAATAACACTGTAATTATTAATTAATCTTAAGATATGATTTGTATAGCTGTGTTATGGCTTAAATCATTTTTTTATCTTTAACTTATTGTTTGATTTTTTTTTAGGGCAAATTACACATAACCAGCCTCAACTTAAAGGCCTTTTCAAAATACCACCCTACACTTTTGATTCAAACAATTAACCCCTTATAGTATAACATTGAAGCAATTAAATATATTCAACCATTTTAAGACAATTTTATCCCTCACCCCAATTTATTGCCGCTATTATTCCCTATCTGCCTTTGGCCACCACAAATCATCGATATTGTCATGGGGACGCGGTGACCGTTAGATGATAAAAAATGGGGACAAAAAATGTTTGATTAGAGAATAATATTTTTTATTATTTTTTGTTATTCAAAAATATGGGGACAAAAAATGTCACTAGTTCATAGGATTGTAGGGGCTGCCATGACCACAACACCCTTTGCAAATAGACATGGCAAATCGTGAATAATCAATTAATCAAAAGTCGTAAAAGTCATTTCCTTTGTCTAGTCGGCGACATTGGCAAAAGGCCGCGGTGACCGTTAGATGATAAAAACAGGATGTTGGGAATATGTAACTCTTATTGGTGTTGGGTTGAAGAGAAGGATATTTTCAAGTTTAAATTATTAAATATGTTTATTGTTTGAATGTTATGAAAGGAAGTAAATTTTTTCAATTGAAAGTTTAGGGTGGTTTTTTGAAAAACCACACAAATTGAGGGCGATTTTGTGTAATTTGCCCTTTTTTTTAAACTAGAGAAATATTTAAACGTTAAAGATTAAAAATTAAAAAAAATAAAACATTAGCGTGTGTGAGGTCATTCATAAGCCACAGTGCTTAATCGATTAAATAAAGTTAGAAATGTTTTTTAAAAACCTCAATTTGTTGTTGAGGTATATTAAACACAACCCTAATCGATTAGGAATTTCGAAAAGCTCCTCCCTTCAGATTTTTGCCCAAAATCGCTTTGTGGGTTCAAACATAAACATCAAAGGGTATACCCCTATCATATTGGTATGTTTTGTTCAATTTCCTCCAATTTTTTTTTTTTTTTTTTGGATTCACAAAACCTAGATGATTTGGAAGCGGTTTGGTTGGATTGGGTCATTTTTTTGCATTGATTATTCTGTTTGATGCATGTTTAGGTTAGGTTGTGATCAATGTGCATGGTTTAGGGTGTAGGTTTCATTGATTTTGGGAATTTTTTTTTTTCAATGTATATCATTTCTGATTTTTCAATTTTTTTTTATTATATTTTTTTTTGTTTTTGTTGATTTTTGGTTCATGTGTTATTGTAGGTTTCTTTCCGTTATCATGGCTGCCCGCAGATGTCCTGGTAAGAGCACCGATTGCGAAAGACGAAACAAAGCAATGGCAGGATCGTGGTTCTTCTTCAAGGCCTCAAGAGGCTGACACTGAGTCAGTGGACCTCCTGTTTGGCTATTTATTTGAAGATGATCCACAAGAGCAAGCTGCATTTATGTGGGATTTTGTGAGCAGACCCATTTGTCAACCGAAATCACTTGATGCAAATTTCTTTATGGTGGAGGGATTTAACATAGTAGCGGTGTTGGAGGGGCACATCTGAGGGTGTTAGCTGAGATCATGTGTCCCTATTAAGAGGTTATGGCGAGGGCCTTCTACCATAACCTCAGCTACGTACAAGGGTGAGTTGAGGTCCCGCGTATGCGGTGTGGACATAGGCATGGTGAGGGCCTTCTACCATAACAAATATTTTTTACAAATAAACTGATTCATTTGTAAGAAAAAATATTTAGAAAATATTAAAATTAAAAAATATTTAATAAAAAATTCTGAAAAAAATACTGAAAAACAATTTTTAATTTTTGAATCCTTAATAAGTATTTTAAAATTTTTTGTTAGCAACAAAATGGTGGCAATTTAAAATAAAGTATATATACTTTTTTTTTAAAACAAATAAAGGGTCTACTAATAATGGGTTATATCGTTTACCGAAAATAATAATAATGGATTATACTAATTTTATATTTCTGGAGAAGGAGACACTCTCATATAGCAGTGAAGAGGAGAGAGAAATTAAAATGAGAGAAAAAAAAAATAAGTGAATCTTATCTCTTAAGTATGTCTGCAAACTGTAAAGCACGGACACAGATTTTTTAAAAAATTTGCGTGTCGTGTCCCACACGCACACGTTTTGACACGTGGTCAATATTTTGGGACACGCGGTCAACTCTTCGAGACGTTCCGACATATTTTTCTGACACGCAGTCAATTTTTTTCGACACGCGATCAACGTTCTGACACGTTTTTTGTAGTCTTAATTTTATTTTATTAATTAAATATAAAAAATTTAATTTATAAATTAATTTATTTCTGTTAAGAAATTTGACATGAAAAATTAATAAAGTACGAAAAATTATTTATATTTTATTTATGTTATGAAATTTAAATATTTGATTGGTTTTATAACATATTATAGACTCTTATTTGTATTAAATATAAATTATATTATATATATTAAAAATTTTATTTAATATCAAAACGTGTCCTAACGTATCGAAATATGACATTTTTTAAAATTAAAGTGTCGGCGTGTCGTGTTATGTCGTATCCCGTGTCAGTGTCGGTGTATCATAGTCTGCAAAAGAGTGTCTCCTTCTCTTGTAACATGAAATTAATAGAGTAAAGACATTTTTTGATCCCTAACAAAAAACACGGTCTCCACTTTTGTACCTTACAAAAATAAATTAGTTAGTTAGTCCCTAACAAATTCAAGGTGGACCTATTTTAGTTCTTTTGAGGGACTAATATGGGTATTTTTTTGAATTTATGAGTAACCACGATTTCAACTAAATGGGTTCACTTTGAATTTGTTAGAGACTAACTGACTAATTTATTTTTGTAAAGGACTAAAGTGAGGACCGTGTTTTTTGTTAGGGACTAAAAATGATATTTACTCAAATTAATATAACTCATTAATCTTAGTTAAATGGAGCTATTATTTCCGTTTAAGAGATGCAATCACATTGACATTAATTTAATGAGTTTACCTATCTCTTTTCATTTAAAACATTAAAATTTATAATATAGTTTAATCACAGTACAACTTTTTATATCTTTTCCTTTATGTGAAATCTTTTATTATGAAATATATTATAATCTCATTTATTACTAGTTATATTGTGATAAATTAAAAAATATGATAAATTAAATTTTTAAAAAATTATTTTATTTAATATTTTTCATTCAATTTTTGAGTCTTTATAAATATTTTAAAAGTATCCGTTATTAAACTTTAGATATATGGCAAAGGATGTATTTAAATCTTAGTTAAAGTGGAGCTATTACTGCTTACCAAAAACAAAGAGTGGAGCTATTACTTGCATTAAGTACACCAATAAGGGCTCGTTTGGTACGCGGGATTCTTGGGGATTACGGGAAAATTAAATTTTTCTAAATTTTTAATTTTCAGATATTATCGTAAACTGAATGTAAAAATTATATTTCTGAAAATTAAGATTTTCGGACAAATTTTTTTTTCTCCTCTACCAAACGTCCCGAAAGAAAAAAAGTGATTCAATCTCGTGCCACTAAGTTTGTTCATCTGTCTATTTTGATTTAAGCCCTTTTAATATTTATATATTATTATTATTTTGGTAGACATATTTATATATTATTATATTATTGAAATTTTCATACTTGACAGTAACCTTTCAGGTTTTAAAAAAATGCAGTATATTATTTTACCATGAATTATTTTTTGAAATATAACTATGAAATTTCACATTTAGCACTTGTTTTTTATTTATTTATTTTAAAATTGTATATTGTCTTTATTAATTTCAGAACTGAGCAAGTATAAGATATATGAATGAATTATTTTATAACCAAAATGGGAAGGTTTAGAAGAAAAAAATGATCAAATTCGATAACATTAAAAAAATGAATAAAATAGTTGTTAAGAAAAAAAAAATTGTGGTGGAAATTTGAAGAAAGAAAAAAGGAGTGAGGGTGTCTCTTTAAAAAGAAAAATACAAATTGGAAGATAAAATAAGTTGTCCGTTGAACTTTTGAAAAAGATACACGCTACAGTGTAGAACATGAACACCTTTCGTTCCAACGTGTCATCATCGTTACCGTCCATCACGCAAGCTGTTCGATATTTAACATAGGGTTTGAAACTCAGGACACCGCCCCTTTATGTTTGAATAGAACTTAAGAGTTAGGACAGTTTCACTAACTTTATCTCTCTCTCACACTAAAAACTCAAGTTTCTTATCTCTCCCTCTCTCTTCTTCTTCAATTCTGGATTTTGGTGGTTAAATGCGTATTTTCAGATCTTTCTTCGATAGCGATCTCCGTTTGGATCTGCAAATGCTCACCGTTTTGATCGCATAATCCGTTATTTCTCACTATCTACTTCTTAAGCTTTGTCCGGTGAGTAAATCTAGAACGGTTTTATTCGATTTGATTCTCATTTTAATCCTCCGATCTTAAGATCATGTTTCCTTAATGTCGATCCTGTTTGCCGAGGAATTTTAGTAATCTTTATTAGATTTTGAGTTTTTGAACAACTTTTAATTTGAATTGCTTAATGGTTACTTTATTTTATTCACTTTTTTAATTTTAAATTATATTTTGTGATTTTGAAAGCGTCTATTAATCTTCTACGTCGGAGATTTTAGTTGCCGTTTATCATTACTTAATTGAACTATTGTATGAGAGTGAGAATGTAAATGTTGACTTATGGTGTGATCCAAGTAGTACAGCTTCAGAAATAGTGTCGTATGGCGATATCTTGATGATTTGAATATTCTTTTTTATTAAAATTGTGTGGCTTAGGAAAAAATTTGTGATTCCTTTCTTTTTCAACTTTAATTTCTCCTGATTCATTTGTATGTTTGCTGAAGTTTGTTCTTGCGATTTCTTAAGGGAGGGATTATAATGATTTGGAGAACCAATCGTGGAGAGAATTGCAGTCGAGTAGGAATTGGTTTATTCTATTTTACTTAACTGCCGACAAACTATGGAAGGTGACAGGACAATCCCTGCTCCATCAGATGGTGTCGTGGATGTTGTTCAGAAAATTAGAGCACTGCATGGGTAATTCTCGAAGTTCTTCTCTCTAGCTACAAGGCTGCAAAAAGTTCTCTCGAGGACTGGAATCCCTTTTTTTTTTCCTGATTATAGTTTATCTTCAGGCCTAATTCTTGCTCTCTCTGTGGTCTGCCCTCTCTCTTGAACAAATAATGTTCTGTAAACAAAAAAATCTTTTATGGGAATAACCGTAGTATGTCGTTATTTCTTTGAGAAATTGATGAAGACGTGTAGTGAATTTTCTCTTACAATAAAATATGTATTTGTAGGAGGACTACTGGCCCTACAAGGCGCTCTACAAAGGGACAATGGACAGCTGAGGAGGTGATTTTATTAATAATTAAACTTATTTCATCTTTCTGATGTATGGTAATGTTGTTTTGCTTGTTCTACAAAACTTTTGTACTTCATTTATCTTTTTATAGATTGGTAATGTTTTATTTGAACGAAAAAATTCTGGGACGCATGAAACTAAGCATCTTTATAACATTTTCTGTTATTTTTTTCTATATAAAAAATGTTTTTCACTTTCAAATGATTATAGTTATTCTTTTGAATTTTTTATTACCATAAATGATTATACAATACCTTGGCCTTTTTCGTCTTCTTGATATACTTGTGCATGTAGGATTTTTAAGACTTACGGTTTTTCTTTAATTTCTATGATTAAATTTTAATTTTTGATTATATATAAAGATGCATTGTATTATTATGTGATATCATGGATTCTTGTTTTTGCAGGATGAGATTTTGGGGAAGGCTGTTCAGCGTTTTAAAGGAAAGAATTGGAAAAAAATAGGTAATATATATTGTTATCATGGGGTACATATATTGTTCATTATAATTTCATCGTGACCCACTTCCCCTGGCATTCAGTAGGTCTTATTCTTAAGTGCACATTGGCTGTGTTCAATTCTTATTTAAGTTGCATACTTGAAAGCGGAGTTTCTTTAGATGGACCTTAATAGGCATAACATCGCATAGTTAAATTTACAAAGAAAAATATACCTTTCATGGGGGATCCATCTATATCTTTCTTTTTAGGTCCTCTCGGCCAGTTTTGTAGTTCTACTGTATCTCCCATGTGCACATTAACCATCTCAAGCACTTTTTAATTCACGCAACTTCGTTATGCAATATTTTGATTTTGACTTATTCTGATTGACAAATGTGTTTGTAGCTGAGTGTTTCAAGGATAGAACTGATGTACAATGCCTGCATAGGTGGCAGAAAGTCTTAGATCCAGAACTTGTCAAAGGTCCATGGTCTAAAGAGGTAATTTCTACTTTCAATCTCTTGTCTGGGTTCATTTTATTTCTACGTGTTGGTGTTTGTTCTGATGTGATATTGGACTGTATCGATTTTCCGTTTAGATATCTAATATGAACTTGAACTTCCCTACCAAATCTGAATGCAAACAGGAAGATGAAATGATTATTGATTTGGTGAACAAATTTGGGCCTAAAAAGTGGTCTACTATCGCTCAGCATTTACCTGGACGTATTGGTAAGCAATGTCGAGAAAGGTATGGTTGTTGGATATCTACTAGTTTGTGGATGACAAAAGCATCGTTAAAGTATTTTTATTGTCCAAAAACATTAAATTATAGTATAATATTCAGACTATCTTTATCCTTATTGCCTCGTATATAAAACATATTGGAGGATTTGGAAGAATGTAGTTGATTCTCATTAATACAATTTATAAAATCTATTAGGTGGCATAATCATCTTAATCCTTCTATAAACAAGGAAGCATGGACGCAGGAAGAGGAGTTGGCACTAATACGTGCTCATCAGATTTATGGTAACAGATGGGCAGAATTGACGAAGTTCTTGCCTGGAAGGTAAAATACATACTGAATTTTTTATTTTTTTATTTTTGGTAAAGAAAAAAAGAGGGGAGAAGATTGTAAAGGGGCATGCATCCATGCTTTCATTTCATTTTGGATTTACAGTTTCTTATTTATGTTCGGGGACTGTTTTGTCAGGGATCTGGTACTCTAAAGTATGGGGTCTGTTAGGAGAGAGAAAGACAGAACGAAATATCAACATTTATCAATAAAATGCGTATGTCTTTCTCTTTCCTAGAAGAGCCCTGCAGTAACTGCAGGGGATCCAGATTCTGTCATCAGAATATGCCTGGTTTTCCATCTGCATTTTGGCTTCATTTTTCTCCTGTTTATCAATTAGCTGTTAAAGCTGTGATGTACTTGTGCTTCTGTGGCAACAGGACAGACAATGCTATTAAAAACCACTGGAACAGTTCTGTCAAAAAGAAATTGGATTCTTACTTAGCATCGGGCTTGCTTAACCAGTTACAAACAGTACCACTTGATGGAAATCCAAATCAATCCATTGCTTCAACCTCTTCAAGGTTGCAATGTAGTGGAGAAGATAATGGTCCTAGGGGGACTGAAGGAGAGGAAGTTTCACAATGTAGCCAGGAGACAGCTAATGCTGGTCACTTTCTGTCTGCCACAGAGATGAGCCATGTTGTTTTACAAACTATGGAAGAATACACGCCAAATGAAGAATCTAATGTAGGAAAGGATTATAGTCCTAATCAAGCATCCTGTTCAGAGCCATATTACGTGTCTCTGGATGATGTTACTGCATCCTTCCCTGAAATAGCTCGCCAAGAGGTTTGCTCTTCTCATTTCATTGAGCAGAAATACTCACACGAATATAGAAATTCCTTAAATGAGAATTGCCAGCTTTATTTGCATGACTTACCCGATATTTCCTCACTGGACTTTGTGCAGGAATCGTCACAGTTGCAAAATGATTGTATAGCTCCTAATGAAAGTCATGACATGGTGAATGTTCCATTTCAGACTTCAGCAGGGTTTGGTGTTGCGATGTCCATGGGAACTATGGCTATGGACTCTGTTAAACGTGAGGACATGATAATATCTGATGGGGAATTTTGCAGAATCCTATTTTCAGAGGCAATGAGTGATGACTGCTTTTCCTCTGGAGATTATAATATTGGTGTAAATATGGTTAACTTGTCTGGTTGCGCTTCATTTGTTTGTCAATCTTTACCATCTGTCCCATCAGGACCTTCTTCTACTGGTGGTAGGTTGCTGCATACTGCCGAAGCCAATCAGTTAGTTGGGTCTGATGATCAGCAGTTTGTCTGCAGAGCACATGATAACTTAATTTATGCCAATGAATCATCCAGTTCTCCTTGTATTGATAGGATAGATAGTGCAGAAATGCAAGAGCCATCAGGTGTTGTGAAGGATACTTCAAAATTGGTCCCAGTAAACAGTTTTGATGATGGATCAGATAATATGCAAAGTTGCTATCCAATGGATGAAGGGCCGAATGTGCATAGAGAACAGGAGGACACAGGAGGTCTATGTTATGAACCTCCCTGTTTTCCAAGCTTGGATATTCCTTTCTTTAGCTGTGATCTTATACAATCTGGAGGTGATATGCAGCAAGAATTTAGTCCCCTAGGTATCCGGCAGTTTAAGATGTCTTCTATGAACTGCCTAACTCCTTTCAGATTGTGGGACTCACCTTCTCGCAATGATAGTCCAGATGCTTTGTTGAATAGTGCTGCTAAAACTTTCAAGGGTACACCTTTCAGATTGTGGGACTCGCCTCACAATGATAGTCCAGATGCTTTGTTAAGAAGTGCTGCTAAAACTTTCAAGGGTACACCATCCATAGTAAAGAAACGACACCGAGACCTTTTATCTCCGCTATCAGATAGAAGAACTTACAAGAAACTTGAGATTGACATGACATCAACCTTGATAACAAATTTTTCCCGTTTGGATGTCATGTTTGATGAAAATGATACTCAGGGAGCAGATTTGCTTTCTCCATCTTCAATACAAAAAAAAAATTCTGGTACCTCTGTTGAAGATGATAAAGAAAATTGTGTACAAGCTTTTAAAGTGGAACAAGCAGAGGAGAAAAAAAAATCTGCAATTTTGAATGACAAGAAGTCAGAAAATGATACAGGTGACAGTAATTCTCAGGATAAGGTTAAGCAGCAACCTCTTGATGTTGATACTAAGATGAAGAATGATGTTAATGCTGTGGCTGAGATTGTAAGTATTATTCTTTTGTAATCAGCAGCTGTTACCTGAAATTTGTAAATATTTATTTATCTCTAGTCATTTTATTTGTCAGGTGCTGCAACGTTCTGGAGTTTTGGTTGAACATGATATGAATGACCTGTTACTGTATTCTCATGATCAAGTTGGTTTTAAACCGGACAGAACTCTAAGTGCTAGAACTCATAAAAATCCATGCTCAAGGGTCAATTCTCCTTCTGATCGAGTAAAGGAGCAGGAAAGACTTTCAGTTGCTGTTACTTGTGTTCAATCCATCTGTTCATCAGACCCAGGGGAGAAGTCGGGTGATCATCCCAGAAACGATGGTGGATTTGAAACATGTAGCATGTAATATTCTTGAAGTTAATTATATTGTTATTGTATTTGGCAATATTGCGACTGATTCCATTTTACCATATTAATATTTTTTTAATTATTTTTGGTATTTTTTATCAATGAAACTGCCATGCCCAGTTATTTAGCTGACTGCTTAATAACTTTGGTACTGAAACTTCGAATGAGGGGTGTGAGGTTTCCCCCATTTAGCCTTATAGATAGTATTGTAAAGCACTTCTCTCATTGTGTGGCACTTGAAAATTCATTAATCTGGTTTTTGTTATTTGCATGGCTATGAGTCGGGTGACAATTGTTCAACTTGCTTTCTTGCTTGCATTTTCAATTTACGCGTATGGGACTTGGGTCATTGTTAAACTTTTTCTGACTGACTGCTTGTTTGATTTCAGATTTGGCGGAACACCTTTTTGGAAAGGCATTGAATCACCTTCAGCATGGAAATCTCCTTGGTTGATCAACACTTTTTTGTCTAGCCCCAGGATTGATACTGAACTTACAATTGAGGTATTGTAGGTTCTGTTGGATAATTACTTTCTTGAAGTAGATTTTAGTTTCTCCACACTAAAAATGGTGAGCATGTTTACAGGATTTTGGGTATTTCCTGAGCCCAGGTAACAAAAGCTATGATGCAATCGGGTTGATGAAACAGGTAAGCGAACAAACTGCTGCTCAATATGCCAATGCTCAGGAGATTTTGGGTAATGAAGTTCCTAAGGCGTTACCAAAGGATGCATCTGGAAACGATAGAGATGGGAACAAAGAAAATAACGATCCTCATAATCAGCGTGGGAACCATTTTCAGTTGGCTTCAAATGCTTTGGTAAAGCTGGATTTACATAATCTACATTTTGTCCTTTTCCCTTCCCCCTTATCTATGCTTCTTTCCCTTTTTCTTGAAAGTTGAAACATATTTGGATCTCTAATATTGCATGACGAAACTTTGCTGGCAAGAGGAACACAATTTTCTTAATCAAACTTCAAGTGGTTTATTATGTTCTCTCTCCTGAAGAGGAATGAGGTTTCTCCATACCGTGCTACTGAACTGCATCGAAGATGATTTAATAAAAAATATACGTGTTTAAAACAAAGCTGCAGCTCAATTCTCTCTCTCTTCCTCTTTCAGTGGTGAATTTTTGCATTTTCTAGTTTTGTCATTAGCTTATATTAGATTAAAGGAATTTATTTGTTTGCAGGTGGAGCGACGCATACTTGACTTTAGCGAATGCGAAACTCCGGGCAAGGGTGATAACGGCAAATCCTCAACTATGAGCGTATCAAGCCCTCCTTCGAATTTGTTGAAGGGTTGTAGATAGATGCTTGTCAGTTGTTATGGCCAATGCATCCGGTTGTTTTGCCATTCAAGTATATTTTATGGAAAAAAATGTTTCTCCCAAGTTATCTCAACCAACTTCAAAATTATATCATTTTGGGAATTGAAAAAATTAATGAAGGATATTTTCTAAATTTTGTTTGTTTATCTGTTATATGAATTTTATTAAAATGTCCTTCATTAATTTCTCTATCTTTCAAAATGACGTGATTTTAGAATTGCTAGATATTATTTTATCTCGTGTGGTGGGAGAAACGATAAATCCATTTATAATTTGTCATTTTTAAAATTAATTTTTATTTTTTAGCTTATAGTGATAAAACATAAATTTGTTATTTTAACTACAAAAAATTCATTTCAGTTCGTGATGATTGTTAATCTGTCACCTCTACATAGTAGGCAAGCCTTCTTGAATGAGCTGAATCATAACACTAATTTCTCTTGACAAACGTCCACAGCACCTACAAATAACTACGATGGGAGAAAAGAAACAGGTATGAAGGTACGGGTAAGAGGAAGGAAAGTTAGTCTGTTAAAGTTCTTCGCTTCTTCCCATAAATATATTCTATGAAAATTGAATTCAAATTTTTTCCTAATCGTCAACTGAGCTAATTATCTTAGTAACAGTTTAATAAGTGTGGGTAGATGTTTTTACCAAAAAAAAGCAATGGTATGTTTTTCTAAATATATTTTTGTACATACTCGTTTAAAAAGGATACAAAAATATCGGAGCATCCGATGCGACTTTCGTTCACTTCTCAAATTCATTTCGCTTCAAACAACTCACTACTACTTATTTTGCCACATTTTACGGTAAAAAATCATCTAGTTATTATATTTGTTTCTTTCCACTAAGTATAATAAAACATAATATGGCTTTACGACATATCTGCCCCCATCACAAATAACCTAAATAAAAACAAAGAGAACTGAACAAAAATGTCATAATGCAAAGAACTCAGACTGGTGCTCGGTGAGCTAAAAAGTTCTCTAATTCTCACATCGAATTAAAGGTTTCATATGTGACAATTATTACACAAAAAAAAGTCCTCCAACTGGGAGGAAGTTGAAAGCTGCAGTCAGTAACATGTTTTAGACGGCTCGGGTTACAGCCTCATGTATTGCATCCGCCAGATGTGAAACTGTTTTTGAACTCAGACCAGCCATGCTAATCCTCCTGCACAATAAACGGTGCAAGTTGAGTCATCTGGAATTCCGGCATACATGCATTATTACACACACGGGTTTTCTAAAATATTAGCCCATGCTGCACACAGTGGTTAACAGCAATAAATAGCAGAAGCAAATTCTTACTGAGTTTGCATTGCCTCACACAATCCTTAAAGAAATGTGCACCATCATAGGTCAAATACAACTCAACTGAAAGGTGTATGCAAAAGAATAGGTGTATGCAAAAGAATTTCATTCAAAATTAAAAAGTCACTAATCTTATTCCAGCAAATCTTTGAATGTAGCCAAAGAACTTCTGTCAACTAACATTTTGGCAAACAATACATACTATTGAATATCTATGGTACAAGAGTTTATTGATAATAATTTATTTTTGATTTTAAAAACCGGACTCAATTAAAAATAAATTCTACGTACGCATACAGCCCTTAATGAAAAATACCACGAGCATGATAGAAAAACACAAACATATGTGAGACTTAGTTCGGAGAAAAAAGGTTTCTAAAGTTTAACCCAACATGTTACATATTGCAATTTCATATTTACTTTACAGCAAAATTTGACAACTAAAGGATAAACAAGATAATGAGGTAAATTGATGCCATGTTCACACTTGTCTGGAACATAGAGATTGCGTATCATATTCATTTGAACTCATTCAATGAAGTCAGAAGTAGAGCATCTTACCCATCAGATGTCATGTATATATGGTACTCTTTAGTCATGAAGGAAACTTGCTCAGGATTCAATCCCGTGAAAGTAAACATCCCAATCTGCTTGATAATGTGACTCCAATCACCGGGCGTGCCTGCTCAATTGAAGGAGGAATAAGTATTATCGCAATAAATGATTTCATATATACAAAATTCTAGAAAGAGAAGAGCAGGAGAAGACAGAACAAGATAGGAAAGAATGAGCAAACAAGAAATAATTTCTTAAATGCTGATGCAACAATAATGATACAGATAATAACCAGCTGTCCTGGCTTAGTCAAATATAAGATTCTGTTTTTATGTATTTTAATGTTTAGCCTACTGTTAGTATCGTCAGGATATCATGATTTGTATACATATACACACACACACTTGTAATTCTCTGTTCAGTGATAAGAAGAAATTCTTTCAATGCACACTTTTTTTTTTTTTTTTGGAAATACTCAATGCAAACCTTTATATAGTTAAAAGAGCTATATAAGCTTATCAGCCTTTTTTTCCATCCCCACCTTCCTTATCACCATGAGTACTACTTCCTCTGTCTCGGATATCCTCATCTCCAATGACCCACCACCCAGCAACTATCAACTCATTTCTCTTAATGCTTCATCTGAAATTTACATCAAGTTAAATGGATCTAACTACCCTTCCTGGCGAATAATTTAACACCCTTTTGATTGGCTATGATTTATAGGGCTATGTTGATAGCACTACCGTAAGTCCACCTAAACACCTCTATGCCTATACCACCACCACTACCAACATGTCATTCAAGCCATAGTTTCATTAGTGCAAGACACTGATGTCAGTTATCTTGGTAATGTTGCAACCTCGAAAGCAGCTTGGGACATTCTCAAGCAAATGTATGCTGGCCGTTCAAGGACCCCAGTCCATGTCCACATAACTGCAAGGCATCAAAACCATTGCAGATTGGGATGTGCATAATAGTGAACATATAGGCGCTAATTACCTTTATTCCAACCCTGTCTTTCACTCATGCATGAAGCACATTGCTTTAGATTATCACTTGGTTATTCAGCTAGTTCAACAAGGTAACCTCACTATTGCTCATATTTCAACAAAATATCAATTAGCTGATGCATTAACTAAGCCATTGGGGCATGCAAGCCTCTCAGACATTAGAGCCAAACTGGGCGTTACCAATGGTAACTCCATCTTGTGGGGGCATAATAGACAGTGGTCATGACTTCGTCAAATTTCAGATTCCATTTTTATGTATTCAAATGCTTAGCCTAATGTTTGGCCTTCTATTCAGTAATGTCTGGATATTCATCTCCTAGAGTTAAGCCTTTTGTTTAGCATGCTGTTTAGTATCACAGGATATCATCATATGTGTGTGTTTATATATATATAGATAGATAGAAAGAGAGAGACCGAGAGCGAGATTCTCTGTTCATTGTTAAGAGAAATTCTTTCAATTCAAACCTTTATAACAGAACCATCTAGAAATACATACTGAAGGAATTGTAAAAGGCTGACCTCTGGCACGTAAAGCATCAAAAAGTTGATGGCGCATATTGATAATACGTTCAGCCATTGCCTTCAACTCAATAGTCCACTCATTGTACAAATCCCTGAAAGGGAAGCAAGAGAGGTAAGAAATTTTAGCAAGGAGGAAAAAATCACCTAGCAAAAGAATATGTAGTAGGATCTCCTCCTTGGCAGTATTAGCTATTAAATATACTGAAGCCACAGCCATTATATATGCTGAAGCAATCACAACCAGCAAAATCATCTCCTCAGATAAATACAATGTTAACTAGAATATCTCTTCAAGAGGTATTAAAAGTGGCAGAAAATTCATTACCACTTGACTATGCTAATTCAAGACTAGCATTTATCCCAAGAAAAGTGGCAGAAAAGAATAATATGATAGTCAACAACAAATCCTTCTTTGCCTTGTTCTACTTAGGAAAGCAGAAGAATCTTGGCTCATTACCGGTCCTTGAGAATGGCAGCCACAATGGATGCACCATGAATGGGAGGACTTGAATACATGGGCCTAATCACAAGTTTCAACTGGCTCTCGACCCTGCTTGCAACGTCAGCTGACTTACAAACCTAGGTGAGTTTTTTTTTTTTTGAAAAAAGAAAAAGAAAAATCCGGGCAACTTATCAGAACACACAAGAAGCTTTTGGTCAAACTTTTTTGTAAATATATATGAACGTATAAATACAAGTATCTGAACTAAAAGCGTACAAAGATTCAAAAAGTAATCAAGGAAAAAATCAGATTCAATGGGACGCAATGTGCAGGAAACACTAAACCCTACTAATAAAAGACTTCAAGTTGTCTCCATTTAATGTTTTTAAGTTCTTACAATGCTTAAGGCGCCAACACGTTCTCCATAAAGACCCATGTTCTTTGCATAACTCTGGGCTACCAGCAATTCACCCCCATCAGCAACAAACATACGAACAGGCTGTGCATCCGCATCTAGACTTCCACTAGCAAAACCCTATTAAACAAAAATAGATATAGTTTAAAAAAGAGTTTTTAATCAAAGAATAGTCATTTGAGACATCGCAGAGATAAAATTTTGCCTGGAACTATGCCAAGAAATGGGAAGCCAAGCACTATTTTGTATTTTCCCACCCAGGCAAAACTTCAGCATTCAAAGTAATTTCAAGTGGTTGGATTTGTGATCCTAAAGTAAACAGTGGTAGATTATGTCCATACAAAAATTTCACAATGGTAAAAAGCAGGTAGCAAGAAGTTGGTTGCATGCAAACAAGCTTGCCTGATAAGCACTGTCAAAGAAAGGCAACAAAGCTTTTGATCTTATCAGCTGCCTAATCTGCTCCCATTGCTCAAGGGTTGGATCAACACCAGTAGGGTTGTGCGCGCATGCATGTAGCAAAACAACAGATCCAGATGGGGCTGAACCAAGATCTTCTAGAAGTCCTATAGGGAACAAGGGGAAAAAATTGTTGGTGGCAGACGCACACAAATACAAAATGAGGGAAATGTTAGAATTTGGTATCTACACAGATGCAAGAGACAACCATACTTGTGTATCTACAAAAAAAACTTTTATTTTCTATTCTTGCTTTCTTGCTCTTTTTTCTTTTTCTCTTGATCTACATTCATACAAACTATCAAAGACTATTTATAAGCTATAAAACTGACAAACATAACTCCACACATAACACCCTCATTACTTTATAACTGACTCATTAATATTCTAACTGACATAACTGACTCATTAATATCCACTAACACAAACCTAAGGACATGACTCTTCACCAGAAAACTCTTCACATTTCTATTTTCTATTTTCTATTTTTATCTCATTAGAATTTAACCCAACAAAACTCCCCCTTAAATTTTAATTCTTCTTTTTTGAATTTTCCACCGGTTGATTTTTTTCGCGCTGCTTCCATGTTACACTCCTTTCTTCAATTTTTTTTTTTTTTTTTTGTCCGGCGGTTCCTTCATTGGTGGAAGATAGACAATCTTGAATTTTCCTCTGTCGACCTCATCCTCCAATATACTTCCACATCCATTCTTACACGTATGATCTTCACACAAGTCATCATACTGATCAGTATCTGTATCACTATAACGTCCCATTAGTTTTACAACACCTATGCCAATTTTAATACTTTCAGATTAAACATGTGCTACATTAATAGCACGTTGGGCCTCTTCAACCACAGTAACCCCATCACTCATTGAGGACCGTTGATTCCCATCATCAAGCAAATAACTCAACGCATCATTTTCTGATTCCGCCCCACAATCTTCTTCTGGTTTACACTTGAGCCAAAATGATTCTGCCATAAAAGTAACTCTAGGCTCCTCATCGCCGGGTTCCCTATCCACAATCACATCTTCCATTTTTCCGCTCTCAGTTTCTTCATCGCCGGGTTCTTCTTCAACAAGTCCAGCTTCCACGCGCCTCATCGATAGAATCTCAGACAACCGTCCTCCAGGGAAATGGTCTCTTTTCGGTGGAGTCGACATCTTCCACTTCCACCATGAATTCAATGCAGTCTCCGACTTCTGACTTCCAACCCGAACCGCGCCTATGTCGGTCTCCGACATCAACCTCATCACGCTGGGGTCGAGCTCTTCTCCAAAACATGAACTCGGTGATTTAGCCGGGATCTCCCCCATCCCGGTTATCAACATGAGACTCGGATTCGCAGTCTCCTCCAAGCCGGTCTCCATCAAGCATCTCGGATTCCACGCTTCTCGTTCCTTTGCTGACTTCTCAAGCTCCTTCGACATCTCGTCTTCTTCCTTATCCTCTCTATCCGTCTTCTGAATTGACTCGCCGCTCTCAGCGTCTTCGATCACGGCTCCCATAGCCGCAGTCATCGTCTTTTTCTTTGATTCATCTCTCTCACGCTCCAACGCGTTGATCTTCTCCGCGGATACATTGCCGTTGGCAACCTCGGACTCCGCCATCTCGGTCTCTTCTTCATCCGCAAGATTCTCCTCATCTTCATCATCATCATTGATGATTTCATCTTCTTCTTCATCAATCAGATCAAACCGTCCAGATAGATATTTCGCTATAAAGGCTATTTGAAAATTATTCCACATGTTATTAAAATTGCGGCAGTCCCATGTACGGAACCATTTGATTGCGCTTCCTCTGAATCTACGCAAAGCTTCATGCCATTTGTCCTCTTCAAAGGTTTTTTCTCTCCTAAAATATTCTTTTAGACAGAGTAAGAAGACCAATGCTTCATCTTTATCTCCATAAAAGAGTGGCACTTCCATCTCGTTCTTTTCCTCCACAGCCCAAGCTCTGATACCAATTTGTTAGAATTTGGTATCTACACAGATGCAAGAGACAACCATACTTGTGTATCTACAAAAAAAACTTTTCTTTTCTATTCTTGCTTTCTTGCTCTTTTTCTTTTTCTCTTGATCTACATTCATACAAACTATCAAAGGCTATTTATAAGCTATAAAACTGACAAACATAACTCCACACATAACACCCTCATTACTTTATAACTGACTCATTAATATTCTAACTCACATAACTGACTCATTAATATCCACTAACACAAACCTAAGGACATGACTCTTCACCAGAAAACTCTTCACATTTCTATTTTCTATTTTCTATTTTTATCTCATTAAAATTTAACCCAACAGGAAATCTGTGTTTGAAGAATGAATGCAACCAAGTAATCAACAATGAAATTGATGAACAAATAAACGATGCAAACTAATAGTAAATGAAAGAATAAAATCCGAGCCTAGTGTTAGACACTGTGTCCTTAAGACAATTTACCCTCTCTATGGTGCCTAAGAGTGTATGACAATTGTCTTCCCGGATAAAACAGATTACCTCTGTTTATGGCACTTTCAAACAAACAGCACCAGCGGACACAACCTTCGCTTGAACTAACGCACAGAATGAATGCAAAAGATTTCAAAAATCTTTTTGGTAAAGTTTCAGTATAGGAGAAAAATCAGAATAGTGACCAGTTTTTTCTGATTTCCTTCCATATTTATAATATAAACCATAACCGGTCATGATGAATGGTGCCTATTGGCGATAAAGAGTCATGCCTGTTCAGCGGTGAAGAGTCATGTCTGTTCATTGGGGAATAGTTATGTCTGTTCGCCAGTGAATGGACACATCTCTTCATATTCAACTTTTTATTCATAACATTTAAATTCTATAAGAATAACAAAAATGCCATTAAATGAAACCTGATGAAGTAATTGAATATTGAAAATGAAGCATATGACCTTCGATACAAATCAGAAAATAAGGAACAAACACTTCACATGTTGATATAATAATTCATAACCTTGAAAATCAAGCCCTCGTGTTGCTGGAGCATAGTAGCGATATGTTTTGACAGATAACCCAGCCAAGTTGAAAACCTTTGGGTGATTGCCCCAAGTTGGTTGAGGCAAGTATATAGTCCGCTGAAAGGACAAGGACAGTAAGAAATGGTAAACTTGGACCATACGATGATATCAATTACAAAGGCCAAAAGAGGGTGAAAAGTTAAAGGACAAAGCAGTTTACTTGGTGATAGTGTCTAGCCAAAAATTCACCCCCAACTCTTAATGAACCAGTGCCAGACAAGCATTGAACAGTAGTGATCCTGTTCTCTTGAATAGCAGGGCTATATCAAAAAATGAAAAAAATAAAGAATTAGGTAAAAAGTAAAAACAGGGGAACATCTTTCCAATATGAAAACACTGATTGAACAAAGCCTGCAGCTAAAAAAGAAAAGTTAATAATAACAATAACATTGTGTTTCTATTATTAACCTGTCAGCACCAAAAATGAGCTTAGCACTCAATTTATTAAAATCGGCGATCCCAACAATTGAAATATATTCCTTGTTGCGCGCCCTGAAAATAATGCAGAACAGAACTTCATAAAAAAATTCAATATGATTTCATTTCATCAAGAATGAAAAGAAAGAAAGTATAGTCAGGTACTAACACGTCATTCACGAGTTGGAGTTCAACTCGCCTCACGACATTCAACACAAGAGGTTTTCCTTCCTGGTACACGCTACAATGTTAATAAAACTCACTACGAATATATATACATAGATTTGAAGACTTAAGTTGCCAGTTGAATGAATGTATTCAGAAATTGTTAGTTACAGGTCATTCATCCACTAGCATTTCCAGAAGCCAAATTAAAGGCAACGATGACTATCAAATAATGTAAGCAAATAGCTCTTACCTCAGTTCGGTAAGCACCAACACCCAAATTGAGCTTAACTGGGCTTGGATCTTTGTTGTAAGCGACAGTCACCTATTTTTCCCACACAAACAAGAGAGATAAGATAACAGACAAATTACAAACAAATCTTGAAAACGTCGTTATCAAATTTGCGTGAGCTAATTTTCAAAGCGGTAACATAACAAGCCATCAGTATCAGGTGCCGTGCTGCGTTAGAATTTTATATGTAATCAGAGTGCACAAGGAAAGGAATCGATAAATTCGAATAATATATACTCTAGTTGAAATTAAATTAATCCTAAAACAAAAATAATTCCGATGATATAGATCGTTGAATTGACTCTAATGAGCAGTTGAGAGCGTGATCTTACTCGGAGAACATAGAGAAAACGCGAAAAATGACAAAAAAGGAAATTCGGAGAATGAAAAGCGCGATCTCATGTGATAACAACATTAAATAAAACAATCAGTGTTGTGAGAAGAAAAGAATACCCCGAGGATAGGATCTTCGGGAGCACGAACAAGGTGAGCGAAGACGGAATCAGTAGCAGCGGTTGGAGAAGCAGAGATGTTGTGAGAATCCATTTGATCGTGATCGTGATCAACGTGAACAAAGTGTCTTGCAAGAGTGTTGAGTCTTCGATCGCTTGGAGAAGAACACGAATAAGTACCGGATTGAAAGGTAGTTTTGAGAGTAACCGGTGGGCGCATGCTGTGTGTGTGTGCTTGGTTTCGTTCCCTATAAAAAGTATTAAAACTATACGGTTAGAAAAGTATTCCCTCTGCTCTATGCACAGTTGTTGCTGTTACAACTTTGTGGTTGGTTACTTCTTTTTATTTTTCTCATGTATATGAAGCTTGAATATTATTATGCTTTGTCATGATTATTATGGTGCATCATGGAGGTCTTTCTCACCGTCACGTGTCACGCATCGTTTAGTCGGTGGGTCACCTTATCGCTTTCTTGGTTCTCGTTCTTCGCTTCAACTTTACTAATACAGGAAGATCATGATAAATACCACCAAAACATAAACGGTTGTTTTATGCAGTTATCGAAATTAACTCCGCGCAATGCGGTAATATATATTGTAATAACAGAGGGGAAAAAAAGGATTCATGAGGTTCTCAATGCCATACGTGATTTTTTTTTTTTTTTTTTTTTTTATAACATACGTGATTTTTTTAAATAATGATAGTATTGACAATCACTTTCTCGGCTTTAAATGGATTGGTCCGTACTGGACGACCCAATATTTTTATCAAGTTAATTTTTTAACTTAGATTTTGCCTCATCATGTCTTATTACTAGTTCGACGCTGGTTCGACACCATCCTGTCAACCTGATATTTATGTAAATTATAGACATTGTAAAATTTAGAAATAAAAAATAAATTAAGAAATATTTGTATAATATGTTTCGAAACAAATTATATAAATATAAATATATTATCATATTATAAAAAATTAATTTAAGTTCTCTTAAAAGATCATCTAAGTTAAGAAATTTATTATTCATTAATGGTTAAAAATTGACATTTGAAAATTGTTGTTAAAATCTCGATTTATCACTACAATTTTACATTTTTATGATTTTTTTTCATTAAAATAATTTTAATAATATTTCAAATGTTTTTACGTTCTTAAGATTTTTTATGATTCTTTTACATTACAAATTTATGTTTTACAATTTTTTAATTATCTTTCAATTTTACTTAAAGATCTCAATTTTAACAACGTTTACTTTTTAGAACCGGAACCAGTCTCAATGATTTCGGGACAAGGATATGGTCCAGTCTTTGATATTCTTAATCACTTGCATACAATTGTGTTTTACCTATAAATTTTATGGGAAATAATACTCTCATGCCACATGAGATATCTCATTTTCCTACACAAATTCGTTTTCCGTGCCAAATAATTTTTCTTTTCTTTTTTAATATAAAATATGGGACCCACATTTAACTTCTCTCTACTTTTTTTCTCTCCTACAATCCTACAACATAAGAAAAGCTAAACCCAAATTTTATTCTCTAAAAAATATAGGGTTGATTTTAACGTAACATGGTTTTGTAATTTATCATTTGATTCCTTATGATTTTTTGTTTTGTTTTATCCCATATGATTTTAAACATATCACTTAGGCTGCGCATGATAATCATTCTATTTCCTGGTACTGTTTCTCAAAAGAAATGATTCTTTTTTATTTCTGTGCCTTGGAACAATTCTGAGAATCAGAATTACGTTTGTTAACATATTTTATTTTTGTTCCAAGAATCAAAATTACATTTGATAACATTTTTTTCTTTCTGTCTTCGTCTTCTTCTTTGAAATTAAAAATCCTATGAAGAATGAATTTAAAATTTGTGAGCTATAAAAAATCATTCTTCTTTCTGTCTATCTTCGTCTTTCTATCTTTATGTTTTCATTAGATTTAAAATCATTCTTCTTTCTGTCTTTGTCTTCTTCTTCTTTCTTTTTCTTTTTATTTTTGTTCTATAATGGATTTAAAATTCGTGAGCTATAAAAAATAAAATTCCTATGAAGATGGACTGCACTTTTCCAGATCCAAGGTCGAGCTCCCTGCATATCCAAGGTCGAGCTATAAAATAATTCACTATATTAAATTATTTTTATTTCAACAGACTGCACTTTTCAACGGACTGCAATATAATAAGATGAATAAATTTGTTTCAGATGTGTAATCCTTCAAGAGCCCTAACCCCAATTTCAAAAATTCTAAAATTTGCAACTTCTGTGTGAAGGGAGGGATTTGTCATCCGAAGATATGGTTGAAAGCAGTGATGGTTCGATGTTGATGTGTGAGCGGGTACGGAGTCGTACGAGTGTAAGAGAAAACTGATTCTCTTTTTGTGCCCGGGAATATAGAAGCAGAAATTTTCTGATTCTTTTTCTTGTTCCCCAGCACAAAAATAAAACTGGTTCATCCCGGGAACAAAAAAATAAACCGGTTTTATCAAACGCAATTCTCATCCATTTTTGTTCCCGAGAACAAAAATTAAAAAAAAAAAAACTCATTCTGGGAAGGTTGTCATTAGGGGTGATAATAAGGCCAGGGGCCTTAGGCCCGGCCCGTTTCGGCTCAGCTCGACTCGTCTTTTTTTATTATTAAGCCCAGACTTATACTCATACAAAAGCCTTTTTATTTAAAAGGCCTCAGGCTTCCATAGCCAAGCCCGGCCTTGAAGCATTGGAGGCTGGCCCGAATACATTAAATTTATTTATTTTTTATATTTTTATATTAATCATTTCAACATCCTTTTCTCGGTTTTCTGTCTCTGCTCTATCTCTTCTCCCCGATCTAAGTCATCGTCCCACCAACAAGTAAATGAAGTCATGTTCATCATCTATTTTTATAAGCCATGCGGATTCCACGGCTTATAATGATGCTTATGGCGGCGACCGTGGAAGAAAATTTAATGTAAAATATGGAAGAAAATTTATTGGTGGGGTTCAAATCTAGTGTAAAAAATCTAGAATATTAAGGAATGTGAAAGAAAATTTAATGTAAAAAATCTAGAATGTGGAAAAAAATTAAGGAAAAGCAATGTAAAATAAAGTAAAGGTGTTGTTGTTATTTTGATTTTTTAATATTAATGTTTTTTTATTATAAAAGAAACAACTATTATTTTCTTACAAAAAAATACATATCAATGCATGATTAATGGGCTAAATACTGCTACAAATTGGAAGGTAAGGTTTTTATTTTTTATAAATAAACATGTCACAGGCTTGAGACAAGCTTTTATTTTTTGTAAACGAACCAAGCCACAGGCTAATATTATATTCGTAACAGGTAACAGGCTAAGGCCAGTCTGACACGTTTAAATACAAGCTTGGCCCGTTAAGATCAAAGCTCGGTTCGGCTCGGCCCGTTAACACCCCTAGTTGTCATGCACACCCTTAGACTCATTATGTTTAAATAATTTATTATTAGATCATTTAATTCTCTGTTGTTTCAAATTTTCACTTAGATCTCTTGTGGTTGTAAAAATAAAATTTTTAAAAAATTAATATTTAAAATAAATTTCCTCATTTATATTTTATATCCTTACCTAATGTATTTAGGATTTAAAAAATAAAAAAATTTAAAAAATTCACTTATTTTTATCAAGAAAATAAATTCAAATCAATTATTATTTTATTTATTTTTTTACATGATATCGTTATAAAATTATCTAAAGAAAGTAAATATTTTATTTTTTATAATACATATTTAATTTATCTTGAATAATATTTTTTAATTTCAAATATTTTTTTAAAATAAAGAAAAAAATTAAGATAATTTATAAATTAATTTCATAATAAATAAGTTGAAATATTTTTTAAACCCTAAATGCATTACATGAGGATATAAAATAAAAGGAGAGAAAATTTATTTTGAATATTTATTTTTTAAACCACAAAGAATTTAAGTAAAAATTTGAAATCATGAGGGATTAAATGTTGAATTATTTTAGTGCAGTGAATCTAAATAATAAGTTTAAAATCTCGGAGTCAAATGATTAATCACAAAATCACAGAGTGGGTGAAAATGAAATTTTTCCAAAATCATAATACTATAAATGTTTTATCGTATTTTACAATAGTATTTATCGTAAAAAATAATTCATTTATTTTTTAATAAAGATAAAAAGTATTATAGTAATAATCCAAAGGATGAGGACTCCTTCCTCTTCTTCAAACTCCGATTCATATTTTTCATATAAAAATCTTTGATCAACGATAGAACAAGATCCCTTTTGAATCGTATTTAAGGAATTCCTTGGTTCAAGCCGAAGCAATGTCACTCGATCATTATTTGTTAATTTATCAATATTTGTTAATTTATCATTAATAAATACACAATCTTAAATGTTAACTTACACAATGAACGGTCCAGCTAAGACTCTTTGTATGATAAACATTAGGGGTGTAAATGGATCAGGCTAACCCAGCCCAGCCTACAACCCGATTTGCATTGAGTCTGGCCTAGCCCGGCCTGAAAATAGAGTAGGCTTAGGCTTATAAAATTTGTTTTTACCAAATAGGCCATAGGCCAATTTTGTCAAGCTTAGCCTAAAGCCTTGTAGGCTGGCCTATTTAATTTATTAAAATAAAATAATAATATTTATTTTATGTGGCAAAGTACCAATACCAACCCTAATTTTTATGTGCACCGCCGCTTCTCACTCTCGGCTTCGTCTTTTCTTTCCCTTGTATTGACGGTGGTTTAAAAATTTTTAGATAGATGACATTCTCTTGTAGACTTTATTTCAACACCCAATAATTGTATTTTTCTTATTTTTTCCATTTCTTTGACTCTATTCCTCTATGATATACATTCTAGAGCTGAGGTATTATATTGACTCTTTCTTATTTGTCATTTTTTTCTTATGAGAAGTACTAGTCATGCATGAATGAAACCTTCTTTGCTCTATACAATTTTTTTCTTTACTTAGTATCAACAGTGAGAGGCCTACAAGGTCTGTAGGTCATGTCAGGCTTTCTTATTTTTAAAAATAAGTCGAGTTTAGCCTAGAAATAAAGCTTTTAATAGGCCAGATAGGCTGAATTTTTTTTACGTAAGCTTAAACCAGAAAAACCAAAGCCAGCCCATTTACACCCCTACTAAACATAACCCGGAAGCACCCTCACTGCATCAATACGTTCGCCGTTGTATTTGTTGCGTGTGCAAGTCTTTTCCGGATTTACTTTGCATAGTGACTCATCCCTGCGTCTATCTCCTAAGCCTTTTGCAAATGCAAATGCATCCACATCTCTACTTTTCATTCTATTTCAGTGTATATATATTTTTTCCTTCAGACATTTGACCGCAATGGAAAAGGAATAAATGGAGTTTGAAATTGGGAAAAGGGCGCTAAATGTATCAAGTAAAATTCTTGCATTAAACTGATAGGATGCACTGGGCATTAAAATATGAACACATCACTAATCCTGATAGATAATTATTAATAAACTAAAAAATTAACGACTAATTAGTGGTGTTACTTATTGACATAGCACACCTAAAGCACCAAATTTATTCAAGTATTACTCAATGTATCGAACAGTATTCATCATCAAAATTGGGGTATTGATTACAGGGGATCTAAAAACGGCCAGAATATCCTGAGATGCAGAAACTCTTCAGCTTTATTCCTTATCCAAATGGCAATAACGAGAACATTACCATTATGTGTTCTGAATGCATCTCATTGCTGGTAAACCAACAAACCACAAAGATATTGGAATTGGTTTGTAAAAGTCCCAAGTTTGATAAGTAACGAATTAAGAAAGAGGCCGATTAACTTGCTCAATGGTCAATTTATTTCGCCGCTTAAGCATCCCATACACTATTAAGTTACTATAATAGAAAACCAAGTTTCAGCTATAAATCATGAATAAAAACGAGCAACGCACCTGAAGAATTATAAACTTTAAGCCCTTTTTTGAAACAATAAATGGCTAAGTTATTTCTTTAAATAAAATTTGAGAAAAAAAATTAGTATATTACATGTAGAAAGCTAACTAGATCCTCCGCCTCAAAACAATACACAGACTCCCCGGGAAAACTCTGCCTTCAACAACTCACTCCAGCTTAATAGCGTCCATCTCATTGATCACCCCTTCAAGCTGCAAACAAGACACAAAATACAGTCTCATATGAGAAATATGAAGAATTCTTCTTAGCAAACCAGAAAAATATTGCACCACAATGCAGACGTAAGCATACCTTGACAATCTGACGCAAAAAGTAATCCCCATACCGTTTGGTAGGCTTTGATTCCACAACATGAATCATATCCTGCAGCAAATGAAAAAGTCATTTAAAAGTTGCAGCAATATCCAAAATAGAAACAGCTATACATTTCAATTCCAAAAACCTAATTTTGGCTTGACACTAGGAAAATTAATATGAAATCATGTCTCATGTCCATGCAGGGAGTCACTAACATCCTTATTCGCTTGTTTTATTCCTAAAATAAGTAAAAGCTATAAAAAAAGTCAATTAAAAAACAAAGGGTAAGACCAGCCAAAAGACTGCAACCGGTCCAACCCTGACTCAGTTTTTGGTGGTCTGAGCCCAGAGAGACTTGATCATTAATTCAACAAATATTTTGAGAGCAGGAAACACTATTATTATCAAGAAGATATTCAACGGAAAAGGGCACTAGTACAAATATGGCCCAGAAATTCCATTAGCATACCCGAGCAATATTTGGAAAAAGATTCCCTTTAAAGAGAAAAAGGATTATTCAAGAGTAAATAGTGAGCAAGCTTACATCATCAATATAGAAATCTAAATCAGCATTGGATGTAACTTTTCCATCACTATCAACAGCATGTGTCTTATGCTTGTATGTCATCAAAATAGTCCTGACAAGCATCAAAATGGAAATACATAAATATACTTGTGTCCAAATTTATATTTTATAAACAAAAAATCTTGATCGAAGAAAATGCTAAAATAATTGGATGTCTTGCAACCTTAAGGTTGGTTCATCCACTTCTATGTAACTTGCAAGTTTTGCAAGGGAGATTGTTGAATACACTTTCAAGAAAGTCCGGACACCAGTTAACAACTGTTGTTGCTTTGCTTCATAAAGGAATAGTTTCAATTGAAGTCTATAGGCATCCTGACAAAACAAATAGAATTTAGTAATTCACATGGACAAAAAGAGGAAATGGAAGGGAACAAAAGGAACATCCAAACAATTATTTCTAACAAATTGTGCAACTCTGCCAGATCAGTTTAAGCCCTTAATCAAGCCATAAATATAGAAGGCTCACAGTGTAAATACTAAATAGATGTCTACGAACAACATTGTGAAAATGAATACCATGAGATGTTTCCACAAATAAATGAACACTTTACTGTAGAAAAACAAAAATATTGCAGAAAACATGTACGTTAGAGATTCAGGCTATCATTAGTCATTAGTATAATTTATGAGGATTCGAGTTCCAAAATGTCAACTTTGCTTCAATAAAGTTCACTGACTGCTGAACCAACTATTGTTTGATAGATCATTTTCTCTTTCTCTTTATGGAGTTTTTTGGGGTACGGGGTTAAGCATTCCTAACAAGATTATATTTCACCCAACAAGATTGTTGAAGGAGAGAAAAGTATACACAAGTTAAATAATAAATGGTAACAGAAAAATAAAGACTTCGAATTTTAAATTTTGGGAGGCTATGCACACGCTCCAAATGCTTTTCGATTGATCCAGAATCCAGATGGAACAACGTATACCTGATTGTAATTTACTAAGGGCTCCTCAAAACTAGGTGCTGAAGGGGTAATGAACTTGGGACATGCATATGAGAAGAGCTCATCATAGATAGCAAATGCCTCATCATCATATCTTTGCATTCTAATCATCTTTTCACCATACTTTTCCCGCAACTGAGAGTTCACAGTTTCATCAACAAGCCTGCTTTGGGGGCAGAGTGAAAGGCAAATTGCCAGCAAGGCATACATTTGTTCATTCTTCTTCAGTATCTGCTCATATTGTGGCGATTTCTGATGATACTGCTTTGTCTTGTAGATGTACAAGAGAATCTTGTTAAATTCACGAATTGCTTCCACATATCTGTAGAAAAGGCTACAAGTTAGGTAGTGTAACAAGAAGATAAATAAGAAGGGAAAATGATAATACAAAACACCATCCTGTATAATAGATTTATTCATCAAGACTTCCAACGAACCATTATTTTAAACCAACAGCATGCGACATTCTATACTTAAAAATAACCTTCATCCAAAATAATACAGGGGAGGATAGCTTGGTCTGGTCTTTTAATCAGACGAAATCTTGCAGGTGCATAGCACTCCAAAGTGATTGAGTATTTGCAAATTTCTAGTTTTACAATAAATTTTAAATCCTCAATTGTACTTCATAAACTAAAAACCCCATAAAGACAAAAGACAGAAATTACATTTCATGCTTGCATTATTGTAAGGCGATCCTGCAATAAATGTTGGAGGTTATGAGGTTGAGAGAGAAGGGTTCAGAGGTGCTTAAAGTATTACACCAAGAGACATCAAGTTTGGAATGCTCAACAGTGTTACCTCCAGCTTAGGAAACCCTAGATATACAAGCTATTGGGCTCCAGCCCATATGGACCCAAATAACCATGCTTTCACCTATTGGGCTTATATGTGAACATACTATTATTGATTATACTATTAATATATCCAACAATCTCCTCCTATGTTCACCATATAGCACAATCCAATAGAGTGATCAATATAATGTTCAAACAAATATGAATCATTCATATCCAGTCCAAGACAATTAACTCGGATCAATCAAAGAGTTTTAATGGTAAAATATTAAACTCAATCGTCATTTTCAATCTAAATAAATAAATCATCATTATTATGAATCTGTTCTGAGACCAACATACCAAAGTAAATATTTAGAGTTTTAGATTCAATCTAAACTCATCCAAATCCCAACATCCAAAAGAAGTCTCAAAATCAGTTCTCAATCAACAATGTTCATAAATTAAAGATAGCAAAATGTAATTCTCAAATAAATGGACTCCATCAAAATGGGCAATAGCGGGTGAACTGTCAAGTCCCCACATACTCTAAATGATATATTCATTCATCAAGAAGGTGATCTTAGTCAAGATCCCTCTCATTAAGCTCTCCTCCATCTCTGCCATCCTCTGTAGAATATCAAGTATGAATTTCATATTATTATGAATTCAATCAGTTGAATAATCTACCAAAGATATCTAGTTCTACTAAAAGGACTTAGCATCATATCATCAGGCAAAGAAGAACATATATTAATGTCATAAAGCATCGCAATATTATGTTCATAAGCATCAAGCCAGTTTCATAAATTATGAACAAGGCCTAAATAGTTTATTTTGCAAAGAGCTATCAACTTAAGTTTATTTGTAAGAGAATAACTATTGTCTAGTTTCAATGAACAAAATCAATAGTCAAGTTACTTACAATAACCTAGTCATGTGATGTCAAGTTTCAATTAAGTACATGACCCATAGGCTTGTTATGCAAACAACTATTTCAATGTTTCAATTTGGAATGTCACAATTACTGATTCCTCAAAGTCAAATAATCTAGCATCAAGTTTGGAATGAGATAATTTAACCAAAAGGATGGTCCAACCAGGTTGGATTGTATCATCAAGTTTGGAATGACACAAGTTTCCCAAGTAGAACCTTTGAATCAGGTTTAAGTTATCTTCATCAAGTTTGGAATGAGACAACTTACCCTTTTCAAATTAATCAGCGACTATGAACATCGATGAAACATATAAACAGTGCTTATCATTTTGGCCAACAAAAGAAAGATTCGATAATTCAAAACACACAATTAAAAGGTAAGTAAATGGTAATTAAGACTTATCTATATAGTCTTTAACCTCATTTCCCCCACTGTTTTGAATAATCGATCTTTAGGCATATCTTTTGTGAGAGCATTAGCCAAGTTATCCTTCGATCTCACATCGATCAAGGTGATAACTCCTTATTTTCTCAGATAATTCAACAACGCATGTCTCAATCTTTTATGTCTTCTCTTTGAATTAAAGAGAGCATTTTTTAACAACTTGGATAGCTGCTTGATTATCACAAAACAGGCTTAAAGAATTAATCTTTAGTCGAGTCAAAGGAATATCCATAATCAGATTCTTCATCCACTTTGCCTCTTCGCCGGCTGAGGCTAGGGCAAAAAGTTCTGATTCCATAGACGACAATGCAATACAAGTCTGTCTTTTGGATTTTCAAGTAATAGCAGCTCCACCCAAAGTGAATGCATATCCACTGATGAACTTACTATTTCTGATTTCTGAACACCATGACGTATCAGAATATCTATCCACAATTGAAGGATAACCAGAGTAGTGTAGAGCATAATCTTTAGTACCTTTAAGATATCGCATCAGCCTATCGAGGGCATCCCAATGCTCTTTACTAGGATTACTAGTGAAATGACTCAGCATGCCAACTGTAAAGGCTATGTCAGGTCTAGTGCAACTTGCAACATATATGAGACTACCAATCAGTCTTGAATATTTTAACTGATCCACACTGGTCCCTTCATGAGGACTCAGTCTTTTATTATAATCACATGGTGTCTCACACAGTTTGCACTCACTGTATCCCCAAGTAGAAAGTAGCTGCTCAATATAATGAGTCTGGCTAAGGGAGATAACTTGCCTATCAAAGCTTACTTTCATACCAAGAATGGTATTTGCAATACCAAGATCTCTCATGTCAAATTCTTTAGCTAAATTAGCTTTTATGTCATTCACTATAGAATGATCAAAACCAAGAATTAACATGTCATCCACTAGTTGTCTTTACATCCATTTCATGCACTACATAGTGTTTAATAGATGTCAAAGCAAGAAGAATTCTTATAGTTGATAGATAACACACAGGTGAGTCGACACCAAAATAGTCTACTTCACTTTGTTGTCTATAGCCTTTAGCTACTAAATGTGCTTTGTATCTGGCTATCGATCCATCACTATTCAGTTTCTTCTTCACTACCAACTTACAACCTATAGCCTTAGCCCCTTTCGGCAAATTGACTAGCTATCAAGTATGATTATGCAGCAGAGAGCTCCTTTCATCATCTATGGCTTCTGCCCACAGTAGAGATTCCCTAGATCTCATTGCTTCCTGATAGAAGAATGGATCATCCTCTAGATGGTAAGTGACAAAGTCCTCGCCAAAGTCTTTGGGAACTCTCTCTCTCGTAGATACTCTAACTGGAACTGATTCAACAGCCAGTTGTGTGGGGTAAGTGTCAGAAGGGCTTGCTTCAGATTCTATAGGAGATTCATAAATCATATCTGTAGATCCGGAAACACTCAAGCCACGATCTTTGATAAACTTATTCTCAAAGAATTCTGCATCTCTGGATTCTATCACCGCATTTGTAGATAGATCCAAAAATCTATTTGCAGCACTGTCTTCTGCACTTCCTAGATATACACAAGTAATGGTTTTAGGTCCCACCTTAGGTCTCTTAGGATCTTGTATTCTTACATAAGTAATACATCCCCAAGTCTTAAGAGGATCATATCTACAAGAGCGCTTATGCCATATCTCATAAGGAGTCATAGACAACTTAGAGTGCGGCAACCTGTTCAGGATGTGATTGGCAGTTAGAACTGCTTCTCCCCATTAAGAGGAAGGCATGCCAGCTGTAAGTAAGAGAGTTTAACATTTCAGTTAATGTCCTATTCTTGCGCTCAACAATCTTAAAGTATTAGCTTCGGGTGTCGGATTTCAGCTGAAAGTAAGGTGTCTATTTGAGCGAGTAAGGTGTCTGTCCAAGTAAATGGTAATTAAGACTTATCTATATAGTCTTTAACCTCATTGCAGCAGAGAGCTCCTTTCATCATCTATGGCTTCTGCCCACAGTAGAGATTCCCTAGATCTCATTGCTTCCTGATAGAAGAATGGATCATCCTCTAGATGGTAAGTGACAAAGTCCTCGCCAAAGTCTTTGGGAACTCTCTCTCTCTCTCTCGTAGATACTCTAACTGGAACTGATTCAACAGCCAGTTGTGTGGCGTAAGTGTCAGAAGGGCTTGCTTCAGATTCTATAGGAGATTCATAAATAATATCTGTAGATCCGGAAACACTCAAGCCATGATCTTTGATAAACTTATTCCCAAAGACTTTGGACTGGATAATACTTTAAGCACCTCTGAACCCTTCTCTCTCAACCTCATAACCTCCAACAATCTTAAAGTATTACACCAAGAGACATCAAGTTTGGAATGCTCAACAGTGTTACTTCCAGCTTAGGAAACCCTAGATATAATACAAGCTATTGGGCTCCAGCCCATATGGACCCAAATAACCATGCTTTCACCTATTGGGCTTATATGTGAACATACTATTATTGATTATACTATTAATATATCCAACAATAAACACTTCCAATCTTTTTTAGGTACATAAACACTACCAATATATATCAGTGAATGGTCATTCAACCAGTAGGTAATGCATACCGGACAAAGCTGCCTCAAATGAAAAATGGTCTCGGTAGTTTTCTTTTCATAAGCAAAGACTTGAGAATAATCACTGCTTTGATTATGAATGGGAAGGGGAATCAATATTGTTTTGAGGCCCACTGAGTTTATCTCCAACGATCAACAAGAAATAGGAACAAGTAACAACATCATGAAGCTAGTATAATTAAAGAATTTCATGTGATCATATGCACACAAGACAAGCAAGCAACAGAAGTAATGATGACAGCACCTTCGAAGCATAAGATTGGCAAAACCATAGTGGTATATGGTGGTAATGTGGCTTCCAATAACACTGGTGTAAACACCTTGTTGACTAATATCAATAGGAAGCAGGCACTTGAGACCAGTATGATAATCGCCCAAAAGACAATGAACCCTAAGCAAGCCAACCATGCTGAAATACCCCAAAACCTTCAACACATTACTCCCTCCATTGTAATCATAGCCATCAGTAGCAGTAAATTGTTCAAGCCCTTCCTTCTCTTGCTCAAGAATTTGAATGATAGCAGACTTCTCAACAAGAGCTTGCAAGAAGTTGAGAACACCATAAACATTCCAAGCCTGAGTGGAGCATCATAACACACTATTTAATATTTAATTGAAATAGAAGTAGTAATGCGAGGCATAAATTCAGTTAGTTGGTTAGTTAGTTACCTGATCAAACTGCTTCAAGAGAGCAATCTCTTGTTCAGTTTTGTTCTTCATCTTGGCTCGGTACTGACAGAAACTCTGAAACTGGTAAACAAACTCATCGACCATATCCCAGAGCCACTGGTTCGGGAGCTGCATGTTAACGACACCATGCAAGACAACCTGGAAGAGGCTACAGTAGTTATCCCAGGAATCGATTCTTTGGCGGAGGGTAGGGGTGAGGCGAGCGTAGAGGTGACGGAACCACATCTCGCGATACAGAAGACAAAAAACGTGGTCGTTGTCGACATAGTGGGCCACCGCGTCCACCGACGGCCACGGCGTGTCCTTGAACAAACGCTCCGATAGGGTTTGGAACGAGCTCTCATACATCTGATGGATCTCGTACACATTTTTCTCACGAATGTGCCGGTACAGGTGCACCACGAACGATTTCACTGAGTCTGGTACGAAATTAGGGTCATACCCTAGTTCTTGGGGTTGCTGCCGCTGATCTTCGTACTCCTGTGTAGCCATGTTTGATCAAACACTCAAACACCAACGCGAATCTGGAACTACACCGAGCTAGAGTTAGGGTTTGCGGCACTCTCAGTGAGAATGAAAAGTTAACACAACTGATGAAGGCCCACACAAGGGTTTTGGGCTTTTATTTTCGTCTATTTTTTTTTTCTCAACATTGGGCACCTTGTGATGCTGCCATTGAGTCTCCACCAATTTTTTTTTTTATATTCAATCAAATTTACTGCTAACCCCAATATAAGCATGATCATATTCAATAACCCAAAACCATTTATTTCTTCTTCTTTTTGCAGATATTTATTGTAGATCTTAACAGATGTCAAACTAAAATGTTTGATACCAAATTTTAATAGTTAATTTTCATTAATTTAATAATTATAATTTATTGAAAAATAATAATTAATTAATAATTATGAACTAATAAATTATAACCATTAAATTCATGAAATTAATAATTAAAATTTGGTGTCAAATTTTTTAGTTTAATACAAAGGATCCTGCCCAATCACCTTTTTACTTATGATATTTTAAAGTTTCAATAACTCAGGTAAAATTTACTGCCATTTTTGTTTTATAGATTTTATCACTGACCACAATAAATATGGTTAAAACATCTATAATAAAAAAAAAATTGGTAAGCATTAACTCAAACGACATAATTAAAGGAATACAAACTCCCCTCCTTTCTAAATTTTTCTTTAATGATATATATATATATATATATGGGAATAACATCTATCCTTTTAAAGGATATAAACTATATATATATATATATATATATATATATATATATATAGGAAAAAACATCTATTCTTTTAAAGGATATAAGGTTTCATCATTTTAGATCCTAACCGTTGATTTCCGTCCATCAACGATTAATTTATTGGGCCAAACTTAATGGACCAAATATATTATTAATTAATTAATAATTTTGATTCAATAAATTATAACCGTTGATGGACGAAAATAAACGGTTAAGATCTAAAATGATATAAGTTTATATCCTTTAAAATGACAGATGTTATTCCCATATATATATATATATATATATATATATATATATATATATATAATTAATAGCGTTCGTCAATTTTGTTTAAGTCTGATGTTCTTTTGCGAAAGAAAATTTAATATTTAACTAATGCCAACACTAGAAAATGTTTATGTTACTTTTTTTTTCTTTACATTTGATAATTAGCACCGTATAAAAAACGATCATTGTTTTATTTTGATATAAAAGAGATTCAGAAAACTGAAAAAAAAAAATTGTATAACCCACACCACTAGAGTAAAAATGTTAATGACGGATAAGAAATGAAAATTTAATCATTTATCCTCTTAGTGGTTAATTAATTGGACTTGTACTCGCTGTTTCAATTTTTACATTAATTATTCAAAAGAGCATTATCAATCAAGAGTAAACTCCAAAATACAAAATACAAAATACAAAAAAAAAAAACAAACAAAGTAGAAGAACGATTTACTGAAGATTGTTTGATGAGATACATTGAAATTGAAATTGCTATAAAATTTAACACAAAATCAATTATAGAAGAATTCAACATTATGAAATGAAGTAGAATAAGAGTAAAGCGAAGCAATTTTTTCCTAATAAAATTCTTTCAAACTCTTTATTTTTCCCAAATTGTATTGAGATGATTTTTATTTATAATATAATTTTATATTGTCTTTTAATTATATAATTTATGTTTTAATTATGAATTTGAGATATATACGTAATTTGACCTCCATTACTTTTAAGTGATTGATTGAAAAATAATAAAATAAATTATTTAAAAATAATTTAATATTTCTTACTTATTATTCACATAATCGAAAAAGCAAAGAATTGAAAATACGAATATTATATCTATTATAAGTTGGGTTTGATGTTTTTAATATTGTAGGAAATAAAATTATTTTTCACACACTTTTAGGCGGGGCCATATGAAGAGAAGAGAGGAGAAAAAATATGAGCTCTATACACTTTTATGTGTATGTAATAAATAATTTTATCTCCTACAACATGATAGACATTAAGTCCTTATAAGTTTAATGTATCCTTCTTGTTGATATTTTCAAGAGTATGAAAAGTAGTCAACAGTCATTTATGATATCAGGTGCTATTTGATGAATATATTTTAGATGCACATCGGAAAATCGCACGAAATTAGGTTCATAAATCAAATTCCACGAATCCTAAGTGATTGTTATTACGACTCTTGATGTCCTAAATTATGTCACTACAGCCAACTTCACATCTTGATTGTTATAATAACGACTCTTGATGTCCTATGTCACCACAACCAACTTCACATCTTGAAGTACTATTTTACTAGTAGCTCTATCCACTAGCAACTCAATCGAACAATCAAAGATAACAAAACCATATCTGGTGATGTAGAAAGCGTAATACTTGATTGTTATCTACGATAAGGTCTGGAACGAGCTCTCATCTATATAGTGGATCTTGTACACAATCTTCTCATATATTTAACTGATCTCATACATATTTTTTCTACTGGGTGTGCCAGTCTCATATAAGATACAGGCATACAGCACGAACTCGAGTCGGGCATAAAATTGGGGTCGTATCCGAGCTCTTGAGGTTGTTGCCACGTATCTCTGCAGTCCTATCTAGTAATGCTTGATCAAAACATCAACAACATTCAAGATTGAACTACGATAGAGAACTGATACTTGGTTACTATTTGTCAGGGGCGGATAGAGGGTATTCGCCGTGGCCCCTCCCTAAATTTTTAAATTTTTTATTATTTAATATATAAATTAATATTTTTTTAATAATTATTGTCCATTAATTGATAGTTAACTCCTTCTTAAAAAATATTTATAATAGTTAATATCTCTTTTTAATCTTAATAATATTTATAATTTTAAAATTCTATTTTCACTTCAATTATAAAAAATTCTGGGTTCGGTCACTTCTATTTGTTGCACTCTAATAAGTAACGAGAGTTAATATTAGGTTAAAACTTGTTGCCGCTTTAGATAACACTATTGATGGACTTTCTTTTTCGACACATTAATTTTTTAAAAAAAACATATATAAAATCTACCTTTTTCTAATTATTATTAAGTTATAAAAAATTACTCCCGTTAAACCTGACGAATATACGAACAAGAAAGGAGCAATTTATCACTACTCAGACTTGCCTTCTTCATTATTAAGCAATAATAATATAATAATATTAGTAGATAAAAAGGTAAAAATAAGACGCGAAAATCTCAACATCGACTTTTAAATGATTGAATAAATAATAACAAAATAAAAGATTGAAAATTAATTTCATACTTTTGACTTGAGGGGAAAAAAAAGTGTAGAACACGAAGTATGAGTATCATATGTATTACAAGTTTAACCTCTAAGCACAAATTCATTTAGGATATTACGTATTATTTTATTAACATATTTTAGATTCATTTCACTTTATTTTATTTATATTACACAAGTATTCATTCTTTAAAAACTAAACATAATAACTTATGCCCTCGAATTTTTATTATCAGGCCCTCCTTTGTTTTACTCTGCTATCTACTATTGGAAATTTAAACTGCAAGAGCCATCATTTGCTATAGTTTTTCAGACTAAAAATTTCATTAAAAGATAGAAGCTTTTTTCAATGCAACGCTTGATTACTTGCCATGCAAAATATCTCCCGATAACAGCTCAGCAGCTAGCTTCCAAACTTGATTTTCGCATCCCATTCAAGTTCCAACATCTGTCTATGTTGACCTTTGCTAACGGCTCAAATTCACGTGCGTTGACAAGGGGGCAAGTCAAAATCACTGTTTCTATTAAGTAGCTCGAAATGAAGCACACAAACCATGTCAAAAGCAGGCCTATATAGAGATGATTAGCAAATGCTTTACTATCCACCTTAGGAAAGTCAAAGCTTGGTCATTCACAATTTAATTATTATCCACAAACTAGACTACCCAGGTTCCCTAATGGAGTAGATGAAATCGAGGTTCAAAGCAGCATAAAATCCACGTCCCTTTAATCAACATTTGTTCTTGTCATACCATACGTGTCAAAACATTTTTTTGTCCAAAATTGAATTCCATACCATCACTGCATTCTTAAAGGCATGAAAGGCTGGAAAGGATGATGTCAATCTGAATTTATCGAGTTCAGAGCCTTTGCCTGTTTGAGTTAGTACGTGTTAAATGAGGTGCCTCCTCATAACTGTCAGGTTCATCTTCGTCGTCAGAGGAAAGAAGGGATGAACCCATCCATGCTTTAAACCCTTCGTTCACACGCCTTTCCACATCTGGTGTGACTTCCAGGGGATTCGCTTCCAGCATTTCCAGCCCTAGATTTCGACCACTAAAGTTTCCCTCATCAAGAATCATGGCTGCCTTTCTCCTCAGGAAGAAGGCAGTGCAAAGATATAGAACAACCAGTCCCCACGATGCAACTTCATAGCACCAAAACAGAGGTGTAGAGCAGTTGCTCCCTAATGTCAAGAGGCTTGAACCAAGAAACAAGGCAAGAAGACCAAATATGATAGCAAAGATAAGATTCAGGATGGATAGACAGCGAACGCCACCTGTAGGTTATCCAGAAGAAAAGAAAAACTTTAATCAATTTTGAGCCCATAAAATGCACAAAAGTTTCAGATGAATGGTTGTCATAATCTGAAAGTGTACAAAAAACACACAAGTGGAAAAATCATTGATTTGAGGAGAAATCATACCCCGTCTTGATGCACAATAATTATTTTCAACCACCTTCAAGCATCCGTGCCTTGTGGGAGCAGAATAAGCTACAGTGATGCCTGCAAGATAATTATCATAAAAAACAAAAACATCAAGCATGACCAAAACGATATTTTCCGAGATTATGGCATAAAGCCTTTAGAATGAATAGAAAGTCCTTTCAACCCAAAAAACAGTATTTCCAGTGAGACAAAGTAAACAATCAAACGGATATTAATGCAACCCGTGATTTTAAAGCATAATTGGATACTACTACATTACCAAAGAAGAAATGGATTATTAAAGAGGTTGTACAGTATTATTAAAATCAAGTTTTGGATTACAGGCACAAATGTAATATATAGAGATTAGAGAGCACTCTGTTAGCAGTTGGAACCATAAACCATTGACCTTAAGAGGCCAAAATCATGAATTCAGGAATTAATGGAAAAAAAAAAGGATTATAAGTTCCAGCAAAAACTTAAGCTATAGAAATTAAATATATTTCAGAACATAGAATCTTATATCCAAGTTATTTAGCAAAATCTGTGAAAAGAGCAGAGAAGCAAACAGTATGGTTTTGCGGGATTCTTAACCCAAGATTTGAGAATGTAGCATTACTCTACTCAGATAGAGCAGACACTGTCCCATCCCAATTCTCATCTTAGAAATAAATCAAGTGATGCAATTTGCCAAGATGCCAGAAAGCAATTTGGAAAAGCACCAAATGATCGACTTCTCCAATAATCCTCTAGAATGTTAGAAATGCATAGCTTCAAAATTATTAAAGAGAATAATCCCACACTCCCATTGCTGATATCAAACATATTGAAAATAACCCACATCTATGGCTATAGATTATTCTCGAATTTCAGAAATCATAAACTAGTTAAGTTAAAGAAGAAATCAAAGTGATTTGCATTCTAAATATCACAACAGGGATAAAATCCACGAGCACTCAAATACTTTACCTATCAATTCAACAAACATGAGCTGCTACGCCCTGATATTCTTTCAAATACTATATTACAGCTATAAAAGTTTTGACATCAAAAATACAAATCCAGAGAAGAGATCACTAAAGAGAAATGTAATCTTTGACTATAACTAGGCACCTTTGTCTACTATTGCATGAAAGTAAATACCAAAATAAGTGAGCATTCTATCATTGAAAATAATCAGACAGAAAAACCTAACCAAAAGCAGCAATGAAATTAAATTTATTACCAGCAATGAGATACACAACAGATACCACGAAAACGATCAACGAGGGAATGAACACAACCATCCAGTAATAATCAGCAATTTCCTGGTCCGTAAGATAGAAAGCGCCAGGATACAGATCCGAATCGGAGCTACCCCTCAACCCTATCTGCATGGATTGAAGCCTCCTATCGACGCAGAACGGCCTTTTCCCATCTCTACCTGGAAACACGATTTTCAAACTGATAACCGTGCACACGATGATTGCGAGCCAGATTACAGCAACAAAAGCCATGGTCAGAGGTCTCTGAAGCTTGCCCCATGCTTTTTCTTCTTCCCTGAGACTCTCGTACTCGCGCTTCGGCATGAACGCTTGGCGTAGCGCGTCGCCGATGATCGCCATTAACGGAAGTAGCAACCAGCCACCAACTCTATGGAATTATGGAATCTAGGGTTTGAAATTTCTTCCGATATTGGTTTTTCAGAAACCCTAACATGCTGCTCCGATGAACTAAATCACTAAAATCTATGGCTTCCAAGAAGTGAAAGTTCGAGAACGATATAGAAACCTGGGAATAGTGACAGTGTTAGAAGCATGTAATTGGGGACTTGGGGTTTGAATCTTGAAAGTTGAAACTAAACGTGAAGGAGATGATAAAGATTATTCGAATCGATGCTCTCATAAATTCTTTACTTAAACTTCCCTTTCTTTCTTAGGTGACCGATTAACGAATATGAAGTTGCTCTCAAAAATTCCCACTCGTATGAGCGGAAGAAGTTATCGGTGGCGGTGCAACTCAAAAAATACTTATTACAAATTTGATTAAAAAATGGAAAATAACTTATCAAGTTTAATGTTTCTACTTTCTACAATCATCTGTCACTATTTCTTAAAAGAAATATTTTTTTTTTTATGCTTTTGAAACAATTTTTAAAAATAAAAATCATATTTAATAATAAGTTGTATTTTTATTATAAGAATAAGAATTGTATTTGATAACATAACAAATAATTGAATAAACAATTGAGATAATATATTATAACAATCAAGTAGTGTTATCACTAATATTACTATTAATCAATTTCATCGTTAGATTGATTATGTTGATCTAACGATTATATTTATTTTTATCTTTGTATGATTATGATTTCTCTTCACGTTAGATATGGGGAATCATAACCATACAAAGAGTGAAAATAAATATAAATTATTAAATATGAGGAATCATAATCATACAAAGATAGAAATAAATATAACTGTTGGATTAACATAATCGATCTAACGATAAAATTGATTAATAATAACATTGGTAGTAACACTAATTTTGATTATTATAATATCCTTCTCCTAAAAAATTATTTCTACTAAACATAAAAAAAAATCGGATCATTACTTTCATTTTCATAAGATGTTGTGGCATGGTGGTGGTTACGACGGTGGTAGTAGTGGTGGTGGAGAAGGTAGTAGTTGCGGTGATGGCATGGTGGTAGTGATAGCAGTGACTGCGACGATTGTAATGGTAATGGTAGTGGCTGCGGCGGCGGTAGTGGTATGATTATGGCAGCGGCGATGGTGGCCGTATCAAGATGATGGTTGTGGTGGTGAAGATGATTGTAGTGGTGGAGAGTGATTGAGAGAGACAAATGTTTTTCATTTTGTGCCTAATAACAAGAAAATATAAAAAAAAAATTGATCTTTTTTCTATTCTCCAACACAGAAATTGAACCGGTTCATTATCGAGAACAAAAAAATAAATCAATTTTGTCAAATACTATTTCTATCCATTTCTACTTCTGAGAACAAAAATTAAAATAAAATTGATTCCGGAAAGATTGTCATACACAACCTAATGTGTTGGGCTCGTGAGTCATGTGAGAAAAAAAAAAGAATGAATAAAATATGACCTTACATATTTTTAGGGGTATATAAGACATAATTTTATCTCTTATAACATAAGAAATATTCCCTAACTTATTTCATGTTCTTTTTCTGTCCTTTTTTATTTAACTCGCACTTTAGTTGTTTTAAATTTGAATGAAATGGTAATAAATATAATTTTAATTATATCTGTAAATTTTATACAAGTATATACATTCTGAACAAAATTGTTCTTCCTTAAATTTGAAAGTATTATATATTAGTTTAAGGGCAATGATTGTCTCCTTTTATAGGAGAGAAGAAATGTTTCTTATTCTCACATCGAATTCTGAGTTAATTTTTTTTTTATCTTTTATTTTTTAAAAAGAACAATGACCCCACACCTTTGTTTGAGTAGGAGATAAGTTACTCTTTCCTACAAAATGAGAAAAGTTTTTCTCTTAGTTTAAAGAATAGAAAAAAATCACATTGGTTGTTCTAATTTAATTAATGATGTCGAGTTTTATGCCGTTGTCTTAAACATTTAATAGAAAAAATTGTATGGCCCCAGTCTTAAAAATTCGAGTTTTACGCAGCTGTCTCCAAAAAAAATACGTTGCAACATATATTGCGGATAATTTTTAATTTTTTTATCATTTTCACGAAGGTGATGTATGTTAAAGAGGCCAGTTATACTTATAATTAAAAAATGTTTACACTTTTATAAGTATAAGGTGTGTTGGAAATTTAGAGAAAATAAAAAAAATAATAGATGAAGAAATCTCTTTGTATTGAATTTTTGCTAAAGGAAAAAAATACAACACTGTCACTCTTGTTTTTTTCCTGTTAGTGCTGCAGCACTTTCTTTTTCTAACTTCGTTCCTTTTTTTCTTTCTTTCTAATACTAATACACATATATAAAGTACATAATATGCAATGCTATTTATATAGCTTCAGCACCGAATGCTAAACCGCTTCACCGTTCTCTTTCTTACATTTTATTTATCTACCGCTTCTAACCGACTCCATCTACTAACAATTTTTATTATTAAATTGTTTGTCGGTTTGGCTATTGGCAACTCATTTAGAATGGCGGTAGAAGGCCTTGTAGTCTTCTAGTATATGGCAGAAGAAAATTTTCGTACGGCGGTGGGTTGATGGCAAAGTCAAGTTGTCTTCTAACAAGGTGATGTATGTTAAAGAGGCCAGTTATCCTTAGAATTGAATCCAATGGTTTCTATCAATTCTATTTTTTTTTCTCTCTTACCGATCTCCATCGACTCTCACCTTTTCGTCACCCCTTAGGTCATTCCCAGTATCTCCTGCCTCGTGAGTAGATCTCGTTGTGCCACCCCTGCATCGACATATCTTCTTGGGTTCATGAGAAAGGTTGCTCTATTTTTTATTGTGTGCAGTTAAAAAATATTAATTTTGTGTGAGAATGCTTGTTTTCAAGCCTAGATTAACTTTGCAAACCACATGTCATAAGGGTTTTGGTTTCTTTTCATTTACTTTCTTTGTTATTCAAAGTTTGTGGACGAAATCCCTGGTCTCGTTCAGGTTGACCCTGTCCCCATGCAGCAGCAGCAGCTTGCCTTTGGTCAGGTGGCGCTCCTGGGAGGTGGTTGTAAGTTTTTTTTTTTTTTCAGGTGATGTTATTTTTTAGAAGAATATTTTGTAGTGAGATCACATGAGAAACAATATATTATTGGAGAATATTTTACAATACATGGGTTGTTTCTTTTTTTAGTTTTTTTTTATAAGTATGTGGATCTCATATATGATTGTGTTTATAGCATGAGAGGAGTTTTCTCCTATTACGTGAGATTAATACAATTCATACTTATACAATGATGCTTTTGTCATAAAAAGAAAAAATTACAGTGATGCACCGATAAACAAAATTTGGGATTTAAATTCTAGAGAGTCGAATAATAAAGAAAATTAAGGAGAAAAAAAACATAGGAAAATAGAAAGAGATAAGGTATTCTTACTACCAAATGTTCCTACTACCAATCTATTATCACTTTTCAGCCATTGAATCCCATTTTTTTAGCAAAAAAACTACTTTTTGATGTACTACCGGTAATACATCGAGTTATTATGAGCCATTAGATTTAAAATTGGTCTAATGATGATTAAATTGATTATAAGGATGATAAACTTATTTGATGATAAATATAACATTCTCCTATTTTAAATATTGAATTATTTGCAAGTTGCTTATAATAACTCTTGTTTTAAGTGCACTTTTATCCAAAAAAAAAAAAAAAAATCATTTTTCATGAAGCTTATGTATTTGAAATGTTTGATAATTATTTACAGGTTGAATTGTAAAATCTCTCGAATTTTTTTTGGGAAACATACACTTGAGAATATGGAAATATGAATATTGTATTGTGTATTGAATAGATACAAAGGTGTACAGTATATAGAAACCCTAATGGACTTAAAGAAGAATCTAAGACCTAATCAAAATCCTAATAAAATAAGGAAACAAATATTTACAGATAATAACGTAATATGTACATATAATATTTTTAACACTTCCCCTTAAGCTCGCACATATGTAATCTATTCACGGACCCCTAAGAGCCTTGGTGAACATTTTTACAAGTTGATAATTGGAAATGACAAATGTTGTCTTGATCTCTCTTAACTGAATATTTTCCCAAACAAAGTGAAGGTCAATTTCTATATGTTTGGTCTTCTCATGAAATACTGAGTTAAAGGATATGTGCAGTGCTGCTTGATTGTCACATATGAGTTTCATGGGCCGTTGTTCACAGAGACGTAATTCCTTAATCAATTTTCTTAACAGATGAGCTTACAAGTTATATTTTCCACTGCCTGATATTTTGCCTCTGCACTTGACTTGACTACCACAATTTGCTTACATTTTTAAGAGATCAAAATTCCTCCAAGGAGAACACAATACCTCGAAGTGGAGCGTTTGTCTAAAGGAGAACTTGCCTTGTCAACGTCTAAATAGCTACACACCTATGTATTCCCTTTTCTGTGAATAATAAACCTCTTCCTGGTGCTCTTTTGATGTATCGAAGAATCCTGACAATTGCATCCCAATGAAAGTCATAAGGAGAGTCAAGGAATCGACTTGCCACATTAACTACAAAAGAGATGTCCGATCTTGTCACAGTAAGATAGTTCAACTTTTCAACTAATATGCGATAATGACAAAACCTGATGGTTGTTCCATGTATACTTCTTCCTGCAAATCATCATGTAAGAAGGCATTTTGTATATCAAGTTGAAGTAGGGACCAGTGATGAATGACAGCAAGTGCATGAAACAAGTGAACATAAGCCATCTTGCCAACATGAGAGAAAATGTCCTCATAGTCAAGACAAAAAACATGAGTGTATCTCTTGGCCATTAAATGGGCTTTGAGGCGGTTAACAGTACCATCAGGACCAACTTTGACTATAATACCCATCAACAATTGACAATTGACTTATCGGGAGGAGCGCGAACAAAAACTCATGTGTCATTGGAGTGAAGTGTTGTCATTTCATCAATCATTGCCTAGCGCTAACCCATATAAGATAATGCTTCACTTGTAGTCGTAGGAATGGCAACAGAAGAAAGACAAGAAACAAAGCTAAAGTGTTGTGAAGAAAATCGGTAATAACTCAAGAAAACATAAAGAGGATGAGGGTTACGAGTGAATCAAATACCTTTATGATAGGCAATAAGAGTAATCTCTGGTGGAGGATTCGGAGGGAAAGAGACAACTGTTGAGGGCGGTGAGTTTGTCAGAGTAAAGTCTGCAGTAGGGTCGGCATCTGCAACTGGTAAAGACAAATCAACAAGAGGAGTGGATATAATATGATCAATCTGTGACACATAAATTTGGGAACTAGAGAAGAGTTTCTGATCCATGAAGGTGACATCTACAGACACAATTTAGCGCTTGAGGTCAGG